AGCTCCTTTAACACGTGATCATCTGTTAGCCCTGTAGACTCCCTGGGGTTTTTCTGCCATTGCACTAGCTTCTCTGAAAGCTCCTTTAACACGTGATCATCTGTTGGCCCTGTAGACTCCCTGGCAAGCATCCCATTTCTAGCATCTATTGTTAGTTTAGAAATTTGTAGGAAGTTGTATCTCAAATTCTTTTTGTCCTCATTTACTGTGGGTTTACATTTAATCAGATAGAAGTTGTTATCCCTCCTTTTTTTCCTCATTTGGATATGACTTCAAGTTTTGGAAGGATGCCTTATTGCTTGTACTATCAACCCTTACCTTGCTGTTTCACCATGCCAACGCTTCTCTGTTCTTCCTAAAGTCTTTTTTGACAAGTGGAATGTATTTACTGCAAATAGGCCTCAGGCTCTCAATTCAGATGTCTGATAAAAAAATAAAGGATAATGTAAAAAAAAAATAATTCAAATGCTATTAATGTCCCAAGGGACAATGAAGACACAGGTCCTTCAGCTTGCTTGTAGAGGATGTTGATAAACCCCTGAGGTCAGCGGCTGGAGGGCCTGTGTCCAAGACCAACTCTGATATTGTTCACCCATGTCACCTGGAGTCAGACTGCTATGCGAGAGGACTGCAAAAATTCCTCCCAGGACTTCCTCTCTGTCAAGATCTGCCTTTGAGTTCAAGCCCTGGCCCTTGGTCATTGCCAGACCCGCTCTGTAGCTCTGTCTGTGCCTGGCCATGCTTGATGTCCCAGTCCTGACCCACCAGCCTCATCACTGCAGACTCACCCAGGGATGGGGCATAGCCATTGCCCCCAGACCTTCTTGTGTAGGGACTGGGGAAAGCATGCCTTGTTGGGAGATGGCAACCCTTCCCACCTTGGAGCCAGCTCACCTCACCTTGCAGAGCTGCCACTCTCCTCCTGGGTCCACGGTGAGGAATGACAAACTCTGAAGCAGCACAGCAGATCCTGGTGTGAGCAAAGTTAGCTGGTAACATCATTAAACACAGCCGCACCAGGAAAGCTCAGGTTGGCAGTTTCCTCTTTTCTCTATTTTATTCCAGCGGTGAAAATCTGTAAAGCAAGTGCAAGCTCCTGTCAAACCTCGCTCTGGGATTGAAGGCTGTAGGGGAACAGAATGCCTTCAGGATAGGATCACTGCCTGCTGGCCTGCACCACGAAAGTGCATCCTTGGCTGTTAACAAAGGTCTGAGTTTGATCCCAAGCAAACCACGAACACTAAATGCCTCAGAAGGAGCCATTTCTGTAGTAAGAGCTAAATTATAGCCCCTATGCTGAATGAAACCAAATCAGGGCTTCATGTGTAGTATTTATTTGGGCAATTTCACTTAACCTTGCCATCTTTTTAATTCCTTTTATACCTTTAGTAATTTCTGAAATTTTTTATAGTTCCATTTACTGAGAAGACCACAAGAGACCTGAACTGAGTTTCTGCAGTTTTGCACTTTAATAGCAACAGAATTGACCATACATAAACTCTTTATCTGCAGTGGTTTAATGTTTATTATCTTTGTAGCACTTCATTTGCAGGACACAGTACCACCTTCACAAGGAACAGAATCAATTTGTAGTTAAAGTAGTGATTTTGGCTACTTTTTGATTTTGTAAGGAAAAGAGGTAACTTTTAAAGAGAAAAAATATACTGTAATAATGCACAAAATACTTAAGGGTAATTTAAGTTAAAGATCTCAGTTTGATTGGACAGTTAAATGCTGGACTGTATGTCAATATCAGCCCTTAAAAGTTGCCAACAGTCATATACTTCTAAGGAAATACACTTCACAGGAACAATTAGGCTATATTCCAGCCACTTAGTGTCATGGAACAGGTAAGTGAATTCCTTGCTTCCTTGTCACCTGGTAATATCATGTAATTCTTGTTAAATGTTCATGCAATCAACATGCTGGCATGCATTTAATAGACAGAATTTTTTTTTTTTTCTTTGAAAACCAGTCTTATCAGCACTTCTTCTGTTCTTACAAAGTCTTCAGGGAAAAGTTGGTTTTTCGGAGTCACATTCCACAGGTTACATGCAGCATAGAAATGAAATTTACTAAAAAGGTGATGCAGGTTTGTGCCTTGTTTTCACGCATGTTTTTTGAGGAAAGGGAAAAATAAACATATATTGAAAGAAATGGAGCCACTTACTACCACATCAACGGAAAGAAACAGAGCAAAGTTCATCAGCACTCATTGCTCTTGGCTGCAGTTACTTGTCTGGTCCTTCTTTGAAATGTAGTATCATGGTCGTGGTAGCAAAATCAGTCATCAAAGGCAGCCGTGTTGCCATGACTGCTACAGCATGATTAACTCTTGCAATGCATGGAAATGAACTAAAGAAAGTGACTGATGGCAGCTGCCTACGCCAATGCCAGCGTCCTACTGTGTACATGGATGGCAAAGGAATTGCTCTTGTTCTATACCACGATTTTCAGGCTTAACAAAATGTAGCACATACTTAAAATGAGCAGCTTTCCAGGGACTTTCAATCAGCATCTCAAATTTGGCTTCAGGTCCCCACAGATACAAACTGGAATATCCTGATGCAAATTGAATATGGTCTTGCTAAGGTGGCAGCAGCCCTTAAACAATTCCCTTCCATCTCCCTATTGTAAGAATTTTCAGATGTTTCTTTTGTTTAAGATTGCCTGGGCAGTTTTGTACAACTGTTTAACCACTTTATTGACAAGGAGGAAGGGCATAAAATCTGTTTATTGCAAGTGGAAAAAACCATATGCTTAATTCAAATTAATAAACTCCCCCCCCCGCCCCGCTTTCTTCTGTATCCCTAAACAATTGCTGGTACTGCCACATAATGCAACCATGTCGGGGGGAAGAGGTAGGACGAACTGCTGAGGTTTTTCAGACCTATAGCCACAGAATGGACATAGAATCATAGAATGTCCTGTATGGGGACACCCCTGTGGGGCACACTAGAAACCAAGACACTGAAAGCATCCAAATCAATGGGTAATAAAACACAGATAAATACAAGGCATAGATCTCTAAACCCACTTTACCACCAACACCTCTGTAATGGGGAGCTACACATGAGACCTGCTGGGCCCCTCGGCACTTGTCATATCAGCCCACGCACATGCCTTTCTCCTCTCAGCTCCCAAATCTTCTCCTTGTCTGGGCCCACCATCATATGGGTGTTTGCAACTCGACATTTCTTAATTAACTATCAACAACCATGAAAATCAACCCTGAGTCTTCAATGCTCAGGCTTGCACAGATTTTCTCATCATATAATTTACTACAGATTCAGTAGCACCAATCTTACTATTTAACAGCAAAGCACTGTATCCTAATATTGTCCAGACAGAAGCTAGTGAGACAGGAATAAAACAAGCAACTGGGCTGCAACGCGAAAGCGAGGTGCCAGGCAGGTCCTGGGGCCTGAGCAGAGACCCCGCCAGAGGCCTGCGTCCCTTCTACTTTTTTCACGGCGCTTTGTTGCCACCTGATGGCCCGATGCAAGATTGCAAGAGTGAAATTTTAAAAAGCACGTTCTTTAAGAAAGAGATGTCTTACCTTTCATTAGATCCACTGACAGTTTTTAAAAAAAGCTTTTCAGCTCAAAGTTTTTTTCATGCCCTGCTAACACAAGTCTCTGCTCTGCAGGTCAAATTACTTTTCTTCGAAGCGACAGCCATAATTGCAATACATGCAGAACAACTATATTTTATTTGTATTTAGTAGGAATTTCTCTGTCTTTTGTGATTTCCTTCCTTAAAATGATGACGAGATATCTGGAAGATAATAATGGCCGCTAACATGGTAATGCTGGGATGCTTGATCCATCCGTCCTGATATTCCCCCACTAGCCACAATAGGTACTCCAGCTGTCCCTCACCCTGGGCCTCCTGACCACAGAAGTAGGTTTGCCTCGTGCAACATAATCAATGTCCTGCTTCAGGTGTGACATTGAACCACAGGGATGCCCAGCAGGCACCCTGGACAATCCTGACCACATGATTTGCACATCTTTTCATCCCTTTTCCTATTTCTTCTCATTTCTTGAGCCTACCTTTCTCTGACCTTCCCTTACCTTTCTCCACTCCAATCCCCTCTCATTTAAACAATTCACCCCTAATTATCTTTTTCATAAAGGTCCTAATTTTCCTTCACGCATATCCAGCTTTTGTATTTTTGACATCCTTGCCTATGCCTAGGTGATCTTGGCCCTATATAGTATTAGCGATGCTGCTGGTCTTGCAAAGCTCTGCTCCCCAAAAAGTTCTCAATGCTCCACCAACCATTTTTTGAACTCTGGCTGTTTCTCACATCACTTCCCCCTAAGCACTAGTGAAACACAGCCATCCCTGATGGCATTGTCTGTAAGTATTTTTTTAGCACTGTACATTGTTATCTGTCACACACAGCAAATTATTATGTTGTGTCCAGTCACTGTCAACATCCTTTTCAACAAGTTTAACCCCAGGTCAGGACCTGCAGCCCTAAAAGCAGGTTTTTTCCTGCTCATTCCAGCTGTTTTAGCCACATAAGAAGCTCTTACTGGCTGGTCAATTTCTTTTAAAAATACTGAGGCAGAAAGACTGAGGCTGAAATGGTTTGGAACTAAGGGACTGGGGTCTGCATTTATTGCTCCGGTGAAATCCCGGTGGCTGAAAGGTGAGCTCTGCCTTGGGACCATTGGTGTGGCTGACAGAGGGAAAGGGAACACGAGTTAATTCATGTCTGGTCATGGGTATGGATACGAAGGGAAAGTATAGAAACTGGCAGTTGTTACCTGTGACCTTTACTTGCTTTTTATGTAGATGGATGAAGATGCTACAAAGAGGATGAGAGCAGGCCACATTCTCACTTTACACGCCACCTTTGGTCTGCAGCAGCTTTTGGACACGAAGAAAACAATGTTACTTATTGGCCCTCTAAGGAAAGTGGCTGGGGCGCAACCTGCCCGCTCTGCTTAGAAGATGCGTTTCCACAGGCTGTTCTTTTCTGGGGCACTCTAAAGTGTTTCTTGAATCCACAGTCGGAGAACTTCTTCTGAGGGCATCACACGCACCATCAGATCACATTGCTCAGCTTCTTCACTGCCACACAGTATCAGCTGGGTGGGGGGCTCTGACACTTTCTGTAAGACAAATGCACTCACTCAAACACCCTCAGGCTGATGAGCTAGTCTGTCTGTCTTCTACTTTTCCCCACAAACTGTTCCTCTCATTGTTCCTGCCACAACTGCCCAGAGGCGCAGCGCTCAGGAACCCACAAAAAGCTACTACCTGCATTCCTACTGGAACTGGGCAGCACATTTAAGCTATTGACTTAAACATACTCCTCCTGTGTGAGCGAGAAAAGAGGCTGTTTTTGATGACTGGTTTCTCCTCACCAAGGAGCTGAGAAGCTCCAGGGGACATGGAGCACTGTTGCCAACGACACAGCTGTTTTGTTCAGGGAGCAGCTGGCCAGGCAGGGTCAGTCCCTGCCTCCCAAGCTGCTTCCCCACAAGCACCAGGAGCCTCATTCCTGTTCAGGGCTCTAAGCCAAAGGCAGCGACAGCCGGGCAGCCAACTCATGGGGGCTGCTTGGCCCCTGCATCTCAGCTCATCACACTGGAACGAGCAAGGCTTCCTATGCACGTGTCTGCTTTCTCTGCCTGCCCCTTGCTCCCGTGAATACCCTGCACCCTAAAAAACAATAAAGCACAGTAAAAAAAGTTACCAGTGTGTCTGGCAGGACAGCAACTGGGCCGCAGGAATACTGAAAGGTTTTACTTGTTTTCCAGGCAAGGAAGGGCAGGGTCAAAGCAGCCACAGCAAAGCCAGCAAAGGAGATGAGGGCAATAACCAGCCACATGGACGTGCCACCTAGAAATAACAGAAGCAGCAAAACTTTTCAGAGAGACCATGAGGACAAACCACTCAATGCAGTCAGCACGCACCCTC